AGTAGCAAATTTCCCTCAAGTGGGTGACCTAAGGTTTATCAATCCATGGGAGGCGTAGGATGAAGATGGTCTCTCTCAAACAACCCTGCAACCAAATAACAAAGAGTCTCTTGTGTCCCCAACACACACAATAAAATGGTAAATTGTATAGATGCACTAGTTCGGCAAAGATTTGGTGATACAAGTGCAATATGGATGGTAGATCAAGGTTTTTGTAATATGAAATTATAAAAAAAAGCAAGGTAACAAGTGGTAAAAGTGAGCGGAAACGGTATTGCAATGCTTCGAAACAAGGCTTAGGGTTCATACTTTCACTAGTGCAAGTTCTCTCAACAATCATATAACAATTCCTCAACACGCAACAAAGAGTCAGTCCAAAGTCAGTAATAGTGGAGAACAAACGAAGAAATTATTATAGGGTACGAAACCACCTCAAACTTATTCTTTCCGATCAATCCATTAGGCTATTCCTATAAGTGTCATAAACAGCCCTAGCGTTTGTAGTAAAATAACACCTTAAGACACACATCAACCAAAACCCTAATGTCACCTAGATACTCCAATGTCACTTCAAGTATCTATGGGTTTGATTATACGACATGCATCACCTAATCTCAGATTCATCTATTCAAACCAACACAAAGAACATCAAAGAGTGCTCCAAAGTTTCTACCGGAGAGTCAAGACGAAAACGTGTGCCAACCCCTATGCATAAGTAAGATCACTGAACCCACAAGTTGATCGCCGAAACATACATCAAGTAGATCACGTGAATATCCCATTCTCACCACAGATAAACACATGCAAGACATACATCAAGTGTTCTCAAATCCTTAAAGACTCAATCCGATAAGATAACTTCAAAGGAAAAACTCAATCCATTAAAAAAAGGTAGAGGGGGATAAACATCACAAGATCCAACTATAATAGCAAAGCTCGCGGTATATCAAGATCGTGCCATATCAAGAACACGAGAAGAGAGAGATCAAACACGTAGCTACTAGTACATACCCTCAACCCCGAGGGTGAACTACTCCCTCCTCATCATGGAGAGCGCCGGGATGATGAAGATGGCCACCGGTGATGGCTCGCCCCTCCGACAGGGTGCCGAAACAGGGCCCTGGTTGGTTTTTGGTGCCTATAGAGGCTTGTGGCTGCGGAACTCTTGATCTAGGTTTCTTTTCGGGGGTTTCTGTATTTATAGAAATTTTTGGCATCGGTTTCACGTCAGAGGGGTCTCCGAGTCAGCCACGAGTTAGGGGGCACGCCCAGGGGGGTAGGGTGCGCCCTCCACCCTCGTGGATGACTCGGGACTGTCCTGGCCCAACTCTTTTACTTTGGGGGCTTCTTCTGGTCCATAAAAATCTCCGTAAATTGGCAGGTCAATTGGACTCCGTCTGGTATTCCTTTTCCATAAAACTCAAAAACAAGGAATAAACAAAAACTGGCATTGGTCTTTAGGTTAATAGGCTAGTCCCAAAAATCATATAAAATAACACATGAATGCATATAGAACATCCAAGATGGATAATATAATAGCTTGGAACAATAAAAAATTATAGATACGATGGAGACGTATCAAGCATCCCCAAGCTTAATTTCGGCTCTCCTCGAGTAGGTAAATGATAAAAATAGAATTTTTGATGTGGAATGCTACCTAACATATTTATCAATGTAATGTTCTTTATTGTGGCAAGAATATTCAGATCCATAAGATTCAAAACAAAAGTTTAATGTTGACATAAAAGCAAAAATACTTTAAGCATAGTAACAAGGCAATTATGTCTTCTCAAAATAATGGCCAAAGAAAGCTATGCCTAGAAAATCATATAGTCTGGCTATGATCTATCTTCATCACACAAAATATTTAAATCATGCATAGCCCTGGTTTCAGCCAAGCAATTGTTTCATACTTTAGTATTCTCAACCTTTTTCAACTTTCACGCAATACATGAGCGTGAGCCATGGACATAGCACTATAGTGGAATACAATGGTGGTTGTGGAGTAGACAAAAAGAGAAATGTAGTTTCACATCAACTAGGCTTATCAATGGGCTATGAAGATGCCCATCAATAGATATCAATGTGAGTGAGTAGGGATTGCCATGCAACGGGTGCACTAGAGCTATAAGTGTATGAAAGCTCAAAAAGAAACTAAGTGAGTGTGCATCCAACTCGCTTGCTCACGAAGACCTAGGGCAATTTGAGAAAGCCCGTCATTGGAATATACAAGCCAAGTTCTATATTGAAAAATTCCCACTAGTATATGAAAGTGACAACATAAGAGATTCTCTATCATGAAGATCATGGTGCTACTTTGAAGCACAAGTGTGGTAAAACGATAGTAACATTGCCCCTTCTCTCTTTTTCTCTCATTTTTTTATTTGAGCCTTCTTTTTTTTATGGCCTCTTTTTTTTCTTTTATTTTTTTTGTCCGGAGTCTCATCCCGACTTGTGGGGGAATCATAGTCTCCATCATCCTTTCCTCGCATGGGACAATGCTCTAATAATGAAGAACATCACACTTTTATTTACTTACAACTCAAGAATTACAACTCAATGCTTAAACAAAATATGACTCTATGTGAATGCCTTCGGCAATGTTTAGAGAATTACAACTCAATGCTCTAATATATGAAGTTTCTCCGGTGGGGGCACGCCCTACCCCCCTGGGCGCGCCCCCTGCCTCGTGGGCCCCCTGGAGCTTCACCGACCTCAACTCCAACTCCATATATTCACGTTCGGGGAGAACAAAAATCAGAGAAGGATTCATCGTGTTTTACGATACGGAGCCGCCGCCAAGCCCTAAAATCTCTTAGGAGGGCTGATCTGGAGTCCGTTCGGGGCTCCGGAGAGGGGAATTGATCATCGTCGTCATCATCAACCATCCTCCATCACCAATTTCATGATGCTCACCGCCGTGCATGAGTAATTCCGTCATAGGCTTGCTAGACGGTGATGGGTTGGATGAGATTTACCATGTAATCGAGTTAGCTTTGTTAGGGTTTGATCCCTAGTATCCATTATGTTCTGAGATTGATGTTGCTATGACTTTGCTATGCTTAATGCTTGTCACTAGGGCCCGAGTACCATAATTTCAGATCTGAACCTATTATGTTTTCATGAACATATGTGATTTCTTGATCCTATCTTGCAAGTCTATAGTCAGTTATTATGTGTTATGATCCGACAACCCCAAAGTGACAACAATCAGGACCACTCTCGGTGATGACCGTTGTTTGAGGAGTTCATGTATTCACTAAGTGTTAATGCTTTGGTCCGGTACTCTATTAAAAGGAGGCCTTAATATCCCTTAGTTTCAAATAGGACCCCGCTGCCACAGGAGAGTAGGACAAAAGATGTCATGCAAGTTCTTTTCCATAAGCACGTATGACTATATTCGAAATACATGCCTACATTACATTGATGAAATGGAGCTAGTTCTGTGTCGCCCTGTGTTATAACTATTGCATGAGGAATCGCATCTGACATAATTATCCATCACTGATCCAATGCCTACGAGCTTTTCACATACTAGATGACCCGTTGCGCCAATGGCGCAAAGGCCATGTGTAAGTTACTTATTGTGAGAGAATGCATTAATATATTTGTTGCTTGAAAAGAATAGCTCATATACTATATGCAGTGAGCACATAAGATTGGAAAGGATGCACAAAAGAATAGCTTATATACTTTATGTAGTGAGCTCATATACTATTTTCACCATAGAAGCAGCAAGGGAAGACTAAATTTTATATATAGCTTGCTCGGAGTTCTTCGAAAGGGGAAAGATCTTGGTCTCATTGATATGAAACAAAAGGTGGCTGTTTTAGTAACCATTGAAGCATGCTGGCCAGGATACATTGACCAAAGTCTATCAGAAACTATCTTTGGTTGCTTCGAGACGTTGCTCAAAACTATAGGAGGTCCGATGTAGGTCGGAAAGGTAAATATCTTTTCTAATTATCTCACATCACACTTGTTTATGTGAATAAAAACTCTTAGAGAATATAGACCCTCAAAAAGGAAAAAAACTCCTTGAGAATGGATGGTTGGGAGCGCTCGGACATGTGTTTTCGTTCGGTCGCTTGCTGTTCGGGGAGAGTAAACTCTAAGTGGCTAGGGCAAACTCTCTCCTCGAAACTTCACCGGCGAGCCCGTGGATTCACCTTCCCTTTTCTACCGCTCCGTCGATCGATGATGAGGATGGGAATCTCGATGCCTTCATTTCGGTTAGTAGTTTAGGTCAGGTTTTTTAGTCCTCACAGGTCGACACTCGAGTGGATAATGGCACTACTTCTTCGAGTTTGTCTTTCAGTCCATTTGAACATAGCCGATGAAGCTCTAGCGTAGATTCCTGTCGTCTCCTTGGGGTGATGAGGTTAGGGTTTCTCGTCATGTGATGGGATTTGATGTCAGATGCTTCAGATCTAGGCAAGGGTTCAACAATGACGATTGCGGCTCCACGTATTGAACAAGGGGCACATGCATGAAGACTTCCTGGCTAGCGTCCGCGACAGTAGTGGCTATGCGAGATGGTCTTGGAATCTCAATGTAATTTTTATATTTTTGATATGCTTTGTATTTTCAATGAACACTGATAATAGATATGGATCATTTTTGAAAATAATAATTGAGTGGTAAGATTTTGACCGGTCGTCACACTTGTTTATGTGAATAAAACCTATTCCCTCCGTCCCATAATGTAAGACGTTTTTTAACACTGATGTAATGTCAAAAAGTATTTTATATTATGGGGCGGAGAGAGTACCTGAGAATAATAGACCCTTTAGAAAGAAAAGAAAAACTCCTTGGGAGTAGAGTTTTTTTTCTCCCCTTGGAATAGATGGCTGGCACCTGCGAGCGCTCAGATATGCATTTTCCAGGTGAGCCACAACATTCACGGGTGCAAGCGGCAGTTCACAGGTGGGCAGGTGCAAGCGGCAGTGGGACACCGCGTTCACGGGTGGACAGGTGCAAGCGTTGTGGGACACAATGGTTCAGCGGGAGCAAGCGGTAGTCTCCCACCGGATAAGCCACCATGCACGCGTGTCTGGTGTGTGTGGGTTTGGTTGTGCCCGTGTCCTCTCATGGGGGCAGCCACTCAGTTCAGCTCTGGACAGAGGAGACTGGCGATTTGGATCCGCCATGTTGTTCCGGTCGTCGGTGCTGCTTCCCTGGCTGCTTCTTGGGCGGAGGAGGGAGCTCAGCTGCTTCTTGGGTGGAGGAGGGAGTTCGGCTGCTTCTTGGGCGGAGGAGGGAGCTCGACTGCTTCTTGGGCGGAGGAGGGAGTTCGGCTGCTTCTTGGGCGTAGGAGGGAGCTCGGCTGCTTCTTGGGCAGAGGAGGGAGCTCGGTCCATCTGTTCGCCCAGCCGCCTAGATCCATGGGGGACATGTCCACGATTCAACGCCCGCCCGACATTGTCACCAAGGTAATAAGTATTCCATTCTAATCCATCCACGACTGACTGTTATTTCGATTCTCCTGAAGAAGCATATTCGCTTGATTAGCATTGTCTTCTACAGCAGTATTATGCTCATGCAAATCACCATAGATAGCAGCAGCTAATTCGACTCGATCGAAAAATACTTACAAAAGGCAAGCTAACATATCATGTACAAAAATAAGATTAATTGAGAATTTTAGTTGTTTGTAAGACCTTCTATAAGATATTGATAGTTTGTTAGAACATTCAGGGGCCGGACCACCCTGCTATCAAATGCTAGCTCCGCCACTACCAAGGAGGTATATAACTATCCTAGTTCTGAAATTTAAAAATGAAGTACAAAGTCCGAAGACAGTATATGTAAGAGAACTTGCAATAACTGCAAAGTTCCAAGGTCTAATACAAGAACATGGAAATTTGCATCTGTACAAAAGATCCCCTATGTTTGTCATCGGAAACACTATGTACCAAAAAGGATGGCCGTGCCAAAATCATTTTATATTTATATTGAATGAGAGAAAATGATGCATTGCAATGATTCCAATTATTTTATATTTATATCATTGTAAAACCTCCTCGTCAAGAAGACTACATACACTTTATGTCTGCTATACAATGTGCATCAGGACCTTCTAGGTAAAAATAATCAGGTGGTGCAACTATCAATTAGCTATGCGAGGTTCTAGCTTATAAAAAATCAACTTTGACTGGATGTCTTATGGCAGGTAAGAGTATTCCAGAAACATGTATGTCAAAATGAAACAAATAAAGAACCATTATTGTGCTTGCACAAAAAAAATATAACACAGGTATGAATGCGATCAACATTAAGGCGGAGGAAGGGGCTTTACTTTCATACCTCGGAGTAGTCTTTGGGAGGCGGATGACCCGGAGATAGGAAGCATAGACTGCAAGAAGCACAATCAGATCTATGCTTTGAGTTACCCATACTGCTGGGTAGAGAAGGAGGAACCGGAGCGAACATCACCTCGAAAAAATGACAAGAATAATTTATTGAGAACTCCATGTAGTTAGGAGTAAGACTTTTCTGCCTCTAAATCCCAGTAACATGCCGACAAACCATTCACAAATTTTAAGTAGCACCATGTAGGTTATCTAGAAAGAAAATACAAACAAACATAAGAAAATTCTCAACCTCCCCCATCCATCAGTAAAGTGAGACCAACAACCACTTAGGTTAGGAGTAGCATGCTCGAGCCATGTAGCAAGTGAACCAGTAACACTGGGACTAATTCATCTATAAAAATATGCAAACAGGTCGAGAATACAAAACCAGTTAAATAAAGGTCAAGATTACTGCTAGTGTTGTGAACAAGTTCAGTCATTTTCCCATTCTCAACCTCAGGGCTCACGCGGTATGAATTTCCATTGGATAAAAAAGCTAATACTATGTTTTTTAGGTTTCCATCTCTATCTTTCCAATACAAAGGCGAAAAAGAGAAATCCTCATGGTAGATAGCTTCTTCGGAAGATGCTCTTTCTAGAGAGATGATTAGATCATAAGTAAATAAGTAAACTTGATAAAAGCACAACTCCTAGCATACAATTCAACTTTATCCGTAGTATCTGACTACATGTGCATTGAGTTCTACATGAGAGGCCATCATCTGAATTCTCAACCTCATGGTCTGGTCTAGTGATTTCCAATGTTTGGAAAGCTGTAAGAGGGAGAATATCTCTTACATGTGTATGTCAGATTCATGAATGCAACGCGGATGCTTCCGACATCCTGGACATCTGGATGTCCAGTATTACAGTGGAATGAGTTGATTTTGCACCTGTAAAACTGAAAACTGATTTCTAACTTCCTCTCCTTCTTCTTCAGCAGGGTGATCTGCATTGGTTTTAGAAAGCAATCTATATAGCCCCAGTCTTCCAGTCTATGGCTAAGCTTTATCTTCTGCTGGTATGCGGCGACATCAAGCAGAGTCATCCTTGATAAATGGATCTGTTTAAGAATGTTTGTTGTCAGGTATGGATTTTAATCATATAGTAAAAAGGCAATAGGAGAGACACATGAAACATAATCCATATATTTAGCATCATGATTTCCAAAAAATCAATTAAAAAGAACCTATCACCTGAAACTCAAAAGCGATAACCTCGAGCGATGATCCAAGTGTTGAGGCGTCACAAAAAACAGGGCCATTTTTTAGCCTAATTGGAGGTTGTAAAGGCCTAGTCAAAGTTTTGTTTTTGCCTGCAGGGCAACTATTCGCGTGGGGGCCTGGGGCGAATCGTTCGGTCCAGCTCCTCCCCCAGATCGACCAAAAAAGTTTGGTGGGGTGATCGCTCCCTGGCGAATGTTTCGTTTGTTCCGAGGAGAAAAAAATAAGCTAAAATATAGACATATATGATTAATTGGAGCGAAGAATGCAGTTGCCTAGCCTGCTGCAATGAGCTAAAATACATCAAACAACCGCTAACATCACTAAAAGAAGGAGCTTACTTTTCCCTTGGGACTGCTTGTTGCAGTCGTCGATGAGCTCTCTAGCAGGAGTCATCAGCATCCTCTTCCTATACAAGCCAGTGTCGCCAAGGCCACGTCGAGTCATTTGAAACAGAGACCCCAAAAGCTAAATAGTGTTGGTTCTCCTCGCTCGGCTCAATCAAAAACATAAAGCAAATAATCAAGAGCAGCACGATCTTGTTAAAAAAGAAATAGATACAAGTTATTCGATCAAATAAACAAATGGCGAAGTGGCTACACTCGTGAGCTAAACTTTCCATAATCCAAGCAAATCCAGAAACCTAAGTAAATGACTGGAGGCCAAATTCACATATGACCCAGCAAAGATTTACCCTAGAGTTTTACGACCATTTAGAATTCGTCTATCCGTTTTCATTTGGAGAATATAATAGAGCAAATGAAAGTGCATGCTTAATTTAGCAGAAGGTATAACCACAGATTTAACAGGGGACAAGTCTAACCTGGGTTTCAGAGTGAAGAAACATTCGAAGATCAAACACATCATTGTGTCACTGTGCATGGTTAATTTAGCAGTAGGTACAGCAACACTTAATAAGGGACATTGTGTCACCACCTAATCAATTTTGTATGCCAGTAGTATATACGGTCAATACGGTCAGGTTAGTGTAACCTAAAATATATCTTGGCAGGAATGACCGGATTCACTTGCTTTTAGAAAGGGAAGCATCAGTATGAGATAAGTGCAGATAATCTGCATCTACTTTTATCAAGCGACTCGAATCACCTTAGAATCAAGTAGTTAGCATCCATCTTCAATCAGAAAAACAAACAAAATTGTCAAACAACTAAACATGCTTGTGTTGTGCCTACCTCTGAACGTTGCTCCAAATCCAGTGGATTTGCCGAAATCAGATTTCCAAAGACAACAGTAAATACACGTAAAAGCAGACGCAAGCCTCAAGCGTATCCTAAAAAATACATCAAGCTAACTAATGAGGCCTAGGATCATTCTCCAGCAACAGATTAGAAGAGGTGCAAGGCCACAATAGATTGCAAACTCTACCACTGCTCCTTGAATTAAAATGTGGAAGACAAGAAAAAATTAAGTGTCCAAAATAACATTATGCCAAATGATAAGCATGTATGGCAAAAAAATGATAAGCATGTATCAGGGAAATAAAAATTCAGTAGAAGATTTCTCTAAAGGAAATATGACGCCATTAAAATTCTGCAACGACTTTTCCAGAAGAACAAATTGTGCAACAATTGGAATAAACTCAAACATGCGCCGCAAGCTTTGTTCGTCGGATGATAGACGAGATTCATAGAATAGTTAAGATAATTAGTGCATCACTGATTTAGGAAGAGAAGAAATAGGTCTAGCCTTACAGAAACACCATTTGTCCCAGTAACCTTAATATCATAGCACATACACTTGGTTGAAATAAAATTATAGCCTGTAAACCAGCTACGCCACCAAAATCTTGATAAACTTAGAAAGTAGATCATGTTGAACAACGGAAGCAAGGAATCAAAGAGGAAAATGGGGGAAGAACTCACCGGAGCAGTAAGTGTAGAGCAATCAGGGATACAGAATTTTGGCCAATACCAAACTGAAGAAAATATCAAGGTTGACGGCCTCTTCCAGCTGGGCGCTGTACAACAGAATCAAACACTAATTTTAGTCCATCAAAAATCAATCTTGTTCGAAACAGGGGATATCATCTATAGGTAACAATGTCAACCATCAATTGACATATCCTAAGTAAACACGACAAAATAATCAAGCAAATTAACTATAATCCCATCACAATTAGCAATATAAACAATACCCAACAATTCGAATCTCATTGTACCTGCTCATTGCCGCCTCAGCCGTCGGGTTGCGACGGGCAAGATGTTCACCTTGTTCTTGACTCTTCCTCAAGATCCTTCCTCTCTTCTTCGACTGATCTGCAAACATCCAGATGGCCGACTCCACTCCACTGCAACACAAGCGCTGCCTTGTTACACCTTCCCCATGTCCTCATGCACAGCAACACCGGATCGATAACATGGGGAGCCATTGTCTTGCAACTAAGGAAACCATTGATCGACACTGAAACAGAATAATTGGTTTGGAGACTCAGGGGCTTACTGCGCTTCATCGAGAATAACAATTGAGCCAGTGATATCAATGTCCATTGCTCTCCTGACAATTCGACTGCTTTTGCCATGGTTTGTGCAGCAAAATATGGACATCCTATAGACACCCAAAAGAAAGGTGGCAGTAGAATAGATTTTAGAATTCAGTGGTGGCATAGTGTGTCCCTCGGGATTCAGGGAAAATCTATGTAAACAAAGAGATAGATAAACCTTTGACCTGTCTTCCAACCCTAGGAAGATCCTCAATATCATGAACTTCATAGCAGCCATCGGTCTGAAGAGATGGGCGACGACTCAGTTTCTGTACATTCGTGCC